GAGTTTTACCCTGATATGTTAAGAACTGGGCAAAGTAGTAAACATAAAAGTTTTGTCCCATCAATTGGACTTCTGTATTGAATGATTTGCTCCAAATACCGCATCATGTTCAGTCTTTGCATGTGGTCCGAATTTGACAAATATTTGACCATGATCCAATCAGAACTGGGCAACTTGGTGAACATAAACATTGTATCCCTTCTTCTTATAATTCTATTGGTCTAAGAATCACCTCATTGTGGAGTTTTTTTGAAAGAGATATGGTCAAAATACTGAAACATATACGAATGAAGCTATCACCATACTTGCACTGATTTTCATCAAATAGTCTTTTTCATCAATTTCCTACAAAAGTCATAAGAGAAATTAGCAATAACTACTCTAAAGTAATTTAAAATAAAATAACTTAAAATTTAACTAAAAAATAAATTAATCACTTAACAAGTAATCAAACTTAAACTAAAAAAACACACTATAATGCTAAAATTCGAACCTAAAATCTAAAGATCTAGCTACTTAAGCTACAAAACTCACACCTAGAGAATCGAGTTGCAACATAGCACAACACCATAAGCATAAGACTGAGCGAACACACCGAGCCGGTCATCACTACTTACGCACATCGAGAAACACCTCAGCGTAACTGTCAGAACAGCCCTAGTCAAAATGTTTCAATCAACAACACCACTCCCACACAAGTATCCATTCAAACAAACCGGTCACCAAGAGTAACACGCTCTTAAAAATCAAAAAAACAACCAATATCAATTTCCAAAACATCCCAACAGAGGCTCAAAACAGACGTAAACATCAATTAAGCTCCCAAAATGACTCAAAATAACTCTATATAATAGAGTTATCATTTGGCCACCAAATACACCAATCTTATTGCATGCAATAAGATCTATTCCTATTCTTCTTTTTACTTCACATGGTGAGGGCTATAGATGTTCCCCACTAACTTTCTCCTTTTTGCATATAATAATTTGCATGTAATAGTAAATTCACATGCACATTTCATTATTCCACATATCCTTATTTTCTCAATTAATTCTCC